AATTTCCAAATTCTTCAACACTATAATGCAAAAGTAATCGTATTTCTAAGTTTCAGAATTCCAGCTCTATCGGTTCACCCAAATCGAAATTCTACCAAATTTAGTACCATTTAGTACTTTTCGTGCACAAATTTCGAAAACTTTCTCCATATCCCAATCCTACACTCCGCCAATAATGTTAATTTAAAATTTCAGGATTCCAGTTCCATCCGTCCCTCCAAATTCTAATTGTACTCAATTTAACACCGTTTAGTAATTTTCGTTTTTAGCTCTAACCGTTCACATAATACGAAATGTTTCAAAAATATATATATTCAAAATTCTTATGAAATGTGAAATGCGATTCCGATTGCCTTAAAATTTCGCATAACTCAATATTTTTATCAACATTAGATGTAGTGTGGAGATGGTATACATAGGTTCATTCCTTTTGGTAGCTCCTCCACAAAAGAACAAAATTTTGAATAATGTGAAATAAGTGTCCCATAGTCTTCAAATTTCACACATCCCAATTATTTTACCAACACAATATCTGACATCAATAACGGATTGAAAAGACTATGCCTTCTGGTATCTCCCCCACAACGAGTCAACTTTTTGAATAACCATGACGCTCGTAAAATACGAAATGAGCATTCGATTCTAGTATGGATAATTATGACTCCTATTTAATGTGATATAAGAGTTCTGTTGTCTTCAAGTTTAGATCATCTCAATATTTTTACCAACACAAGATGTGGTATGAAAACGAAATATACTGATACCTTCCCCACAATGGGTCAAAACTTTGAATAATTATACCTCTCAGAAAATGCGAAATAAGCCCCCATTTCTCTTCAAATTTCACACATCTCAATATTTGTATTAACAAAATATCTGATGTGAAGATGGGATATATCGATCCACTCCTCCTGATACCTCCCCCACAACGGATTAAAATGTTAAATGATTTTATCTCCCATAAAATGCGAAAAAAAATTTTCTAATTCTTTCTAAGCTTTGCATATTTTTTCTGACACAAGGTCTGATGTGAATATGATAGATATCGGCCCACCTCTTCTGGCACCTCCCCCACAAAGGGTGATCATTTTCAGTATTTATGTATCTCATAACTTGCGAAACAAGCCACAGATTCTTTTCAAACTTGGTATATCTAAATATATCTCTCTCTCTCTCTCTCTAGCAGGGATCTTATGTGAAAAAGAAGTGTATGGAACCACTCGTTGTGGCACCTTCTCCACAAAAGTTGACCTTTTTGATTATTATTTATTCGCATAAAATTAGAAAAAAATGTTCAGCATTAAATTAAGTTGAGTACATCGGTCAGCTATTTTTCAAAAATTATCTCATATCTCCTCAAATGTGAAAAAAGTTGTCGATATAGCCGAAATAATAATAAATGGTACCCTGTAAAATTAATATCAGACTTAGGTCAGGAATAGACAATACTTGCCCACCTCTGCATAACCTTCCCCCATTAAGGGTCAACAGTTTCAATAAGCTGATTAGTAGTATTTAACTTGTTTAACTTTAAAATATGCTAATCATATAGGCTTAACTGACATATATACACTCGAATCGACACCCTCTATGCACATTATAGTCCAAAACCTTTAAGAGAGAACCTTCCCATTTTTATACCCTACAACACTTTGTGTTGGGGGTATTATAAGTTTGATTGGGCCAAAAATTATGTAACACCTCGAAATATTGGTTTCCCACATCGGAAAGTATATATGGATCTTCCTATCTCGCCGAGCTGAGTCGATCTAGCTATGTATGTCCGTCCGTCCGTCTGTCCGTCTGTCCATGTTAATTTGTAATCACACTACAGGTCGCAATTATGGCCCGATCATCACGAAATTGAAAATGGAGGTGGGGATAGGGTCAGAATAGAACCCTATTGTTTTTGGAAATGATCGCATAATATTTAGGGGTCGAAATGGACCAAAATCTGAAAAATTTCCTGATTTTGCAGTTGCTCTAAGGGGATGTTAGATAGAATGCTTATATCTCAAGAATGGCTGGATCGATTTTTAAAAATGTTGTCAATTCAGAATGCTCCCCTGACATTAAAGAATAAAATCTAAAAAAATCGCATAAAAAGATGCCGATAACGATGTTAATATAGATTTTGTAGAATTTTGTGACATATTTTTATTTTTATACCCTACAACACTATGTGTTGGGGGTATTATAAGTTTGATTGGGCCAAAAATTATGTAACACCACGAAATATTGATTTCCCACATAGGAAAGTATATATGGATCTTCCTATCTCGCCGAGCTGAGTCGATCTAGCTATGTATGTCCGTCCGTCCGTCTGTCCGTCTGTCCATGTTAATTTGTAATCACTCTACAGGTCGCAATTATGGCCCGATCTTCACGAAATATAGAATGGAGGTGGGACTAGGGTCAGAATAGAACCCTATTTCTTTTGGAGATGATCGCCAAATGTTTAGGGGTTGAAATGGACCAAATACTGAAAAAATGTCGGATTTTTGCAGTAGCTATACAGGCCGCAATTATAGACCAATCAACGCGGAATTTCGCATGTAGCTAGAGTTTAGGGCGGGGAAGAAGCCTACCAATTTGGGTGGTCATCGGATAATATTTAGCGGGTAAAATAGACCATATCGTTTTTGTTAAAAAAATTCAAAATTTTTCATTAAACCGCGAATATTTTAAATCCCGGCGAAGTCACAAGGCCATGACAAGGTTACTTCTGATCTTTACATTGATGTTAACATCCAAAAAAATGGAATATATAGCAAATATATGCGATATATATGTCTATCAAAGAAGATATGCTTGAAAGATCTTATATATGTCGAGAACGGCTGAACTGATTTCGACAGTTCTCATTAATTCAGAATGGCCTCGTGGCAGGAAAGAAAAAACGTCTAAAAAATTGCATAAAAATATCTCTCTAAAGATGAAAATATTGATTTTGTAATATTTTCTCATATTTTTTCCATTTTGTCATATTTTTGGCATATTTTCATTTTGAATAAAACATTTGTTAATATTTCTACAGCTAACAAAACTAAGTAGTTAGGATATCAGGATATCATATACAGATCGCATTTATGACCCGATCCTTACGAATTTTTGCATGGGGATAAGATGAGGGTCAGAATGGAAGCCTACTCTTTTTGGAGATGATCGCCATATATTTAGGGGTTGAAATGGACCAAAAAACTGCAAAATTATCAGGAGGTCGTAATTATCGCCCGATCCTCACTCACATTTGAATGGGGGTTACCGCACATTGCAAACACCAAGCAGTTTTGGATGGCCATCCAAAAATATTCAATGTGTGAAATAGTTTGCCAACTTTTGTAGACAAATATGAAAATGTCCATTCCAGTGACTTTTTGGAGAATTCACAAATACAGGAAAGACGCACTTCTGACTATTTCGTTGAAGAATATAATCAAATGTCTGTATCTCATATAGATGCGTTTCAGTCAAAAACAAATAATAAATGTTAATCTTTTGCCACTTCTGAGAGATTATAGGTCTTTGGGAAATATTGGTTCCAGATCTAGGAAGACCGTTTACGTGCAACATCTACCAATAAATTGGAAATGAGCAAATTAGTTTAAGTTGGTATTATTCGAAAATTAGAGAACGAAACCTGGTGGTTTTCTTTTATTATTTGTCACAATATCTTGTGGAATTCTTTCGAGTATCTCGCCTATATAAACTGTATCGTTTATTATAGTGTTGTAGGGTATTCAACGGTCGGCCCCGCTCGACTGTAGCCTTTGCTTACTTGTTTTTTCATATTTTTTATCGCATGCGATTTTTTTCATTCTGACTTATAATATTAAAGTATACATTCTGTAATATTTTTTTACTTTACAACACAGTTTGGAGTTATTATACATGCATATTGCAATTATCGTCCGATCCTCACGAAAATTTTCATTAGGTTAGGATTAGGCTCAGAAGGGCTAGGCCTATTGTTTTTAAAAATGTCCGCAATATATTTAAGGGTTGAAATTGATCAACATCTAAAAATGTTCCTGACTTTGCAGCCGTTATAAAGGTCACAAATAGAGACCAAATGACATGAAATCTCGCATGAAGTTAGAGTTTAGGACAGCGGGTGGAATGAATTTTACTGCACAACGGAGTGCGTAAATATTGGGCAATTTAGATTATATTCAGCTGGAAAATTTATCACAACTTTCGTGTGAAATTGTTTTGAATACCTAAAAACACGGAGTACATAAAAATTGGGTAAATGCCCCCCGAAAACAAGCTAAGGGTAACATATGAGAACGGCGCTATGACATAATTTCAATCACGAAATCTTCCAAAACGGATTTGGACATAAGGGGGCTTTTACTATATTGTAGTGTTGTAGGGTATCACATGGTCCGCCCCGCACGACTATAGCCTTTGCTTAATCGTTTTACATTTCCTTTTTCATTCCCTTTACTTCTTACAAATTTTTTCAATTTTTTTCCCAGACCAAACTTTCCACAGTTTGAGGTAGTACTAACAAAGTTAATTCAGATAAAGTCGTCTCACTTTTAAATATTTATTTCATGCTAAAATAAACAAAAAAAAAACAAAAATAATAACTCTATAAATTTATGAAATTTTAATATTTATACAATGTTTCGCTAGATAAAGCGACTGACTCATAATAGAATTAAATAAAACGGCGAAAATCCTTCTCACCTTTTTCGCTGTTAATAAAATGTATGAGTTGACATAATGTAAACGTGAATATTAACAAAATAGCAACAATGCCAACAAAACCCACATTTAAAGTGTCACATTTTTTCACTTCCATTAAATTGTCGACGCTGATGACGGGCAACGGGGAAGGGAGGGAGCGTTGATGCCAAAGCAAACACACAAACACGACGCAAATGCTTTGGATGTGGGACAGGTGCAGTGAATTCTTCTTGCCGATCTTCTCACCACTCACTCGCTCGCTCGCTCTATTACCATAATAAAAAACCGACTGAGCTATCTAATCTTAAGTTAATATCAAATCACAGCAAAAAAAAAAGAACATCTAAAACGAAAAGTTATGAAGATTTGTAAAGACGTAACAACGAGACAGGCAATTGTTGCTGCAGCCACATTTCAACGGAGTCGGCCACTAAGTAAAGAATCAAGTGCGGAAATCGCGATAAAACGACATTATGTTGCAAGTTACAATATTTTCATTGGCATTCTGTGTGGTAAGTGTTTTTCGAAAAAAAAAGATATTGTAATTGGAAGACTAAGTTTTCATTTGAAAATCAAACAACAAGCAATAAACAAGTTAAAAAGTATCAGCCAATTGAAGATTGATATATACGATCAGCGATTGACCAAAAAATGAAGTATTATTAAAAATTATTGAATGCAATGAATATTCTTGAAAATTACTCTATATTTTGTCTGGAAGATATTGAAATTATTTTCAACAAATTGATTATTTTGGTTTCTTGGCGATTTAAAATACCACGAGACTCTCAATTTTTTCCAGGTCGTTCAAATCTTGCAAAAAAAGGGACGAAGTTAAAAACTTGAAAAAAATCATAAGGAAACTCCATTTTTTCTATAATATCCTTGAAAAAATGCTTCCATGAAAGTGCAAGACATCCTTGTATATAAATTCGAAATTTTTGCTCAGAAGATCCTTGAAATTGTTTTTAAGTATTTCTGGCAAAAAAAAATGAATTTTCTATAAAAAGTTTAAGAGATTTTCTTGAGTTTTTAATACTTTTCCGAGGACTTCTAGCATACAAAAATGGTGGAAAATCTCTAAAATTTGTCATAGAAAATTCATTTTTTACCCGAAATACTTAAAAACCATTTTCAAAATCAACAAGTAAAAAGCAGCTAAATTCAAATACGAAATTTGTTCCATTACGGTGAATAATGTCGCAAAAATCATGAAAATACGGAGTATCGGGAGGTACCGTCATATGGGGGCTATACGAAGACGTAGACCTACATACTAAATTTTTGGTAATAGGCTGTAGTACCCATTACGAACTTCAAATACGAAATTTCAAATAATTCCGTTAAATAATGTCGCTAAAATCGTCAAAATACCGAATATCGGGAGGTACCGTTATATGGGGGCTATACGAGGTACCGTTATATGGGGGCTATACGAAGATATGGACCTGCATACAACATTTTTTGCCATAGGTTGTAGTACCAATTAGGATCTTCCAGTACGAAATTTGAAACTATTCCGCTGAATAATGTTGCTGAAATCATCAAAATACAGAATATCGCGAGGTACCGTCATATGGGGCCTATACGAAGACGTAAACCTACATACAAAATGTTTGGTTATAGGCTGTAGTACCGATTACGACCTTCAAATACAAAATTTAAAATAATTCCGGTAAATAATGTCGCTAAAACCATGAAAATACCGAGTATCGGGAGGTACCGTTATATGGGAGCTATACGAAGATCTGGACCTGTATACAACATTTTTGCACTAAGTTGTAGTACCAATTACGAACTTCAAATACGAAATTTGAAACGATTCCGGTGAATATTGTTGCTGAAGGCATCAAAATACCGAATATCGGGAGGTACCGTTATATGGGGGCTATAGGAAGACTTGGACCTGCATAAAAAAATTTTGTCATAGGCTGTAATACCCATTACGAACTTCAAATACGAAATTTGAAATAATTCCGGTAAATAATTTCGCTGAAATCATGAAAATACTGAATATCGGGAGGTACCGTCATATGGGTGCTATACGAAAACGTGGACCGACATGGCCCATTTACGAGATTAACCTGCCTACTGGTAAAGAAGAACTCACACCGCCACAAAAAGAAAATAAACTCAAAACCGCTAAAGAGGTCCTTCGCTTGGCCGAAAGTGGTGAACTGCCGAATTTGGTTTTCTCCGATGAGAAAACATTCGTTGTCCAGCAGTTTGTAAACAAACAAATAATAATTGTTGCGGAAAAGCAAAAATATAACGGATTTTTTCAAAATATAATATGTACAGGGTGAGATAAAAAAACTGCAACAAAGTCAAACGCTACAATTTTTACATTTTTTTCTATTTTTTGTGGATGAAAGCTCTCCGCACGTATCAATCGACCGTGGCATCAGAATAAATGCCGAATATTATCGCAAAAATAATCTGGAGGGTGCATTAAAGCCTTGTGCATGCAAACATTTTGGCCGCAGACCTTGGACATTCCAACACGACTCAGCACCATCGCACTCAGCACGCACCAACCAAGAATGGTTACAAAATGAGATTTCTCGCTTCATTTCCAGCGCTCAATGGACACCAAAATCTTCGGATACCAATCCGTTGGACTATTGTGTCTCGAGTATTTTGGAAAGCAAGGTTGCCACTAAAAAAATACCAAAGTATCGATCACCTCAAGCAAGCACTTCGCCGGGAATGGGTCAAAATACCGCAGAGCAACATTCGGGCAGCGTGTGACAGTTTCATTGGCCGTTTGAAGGCCATAATTCGTGCCAAAGGTGACCATTTCGAATAAATCTAAACTTATTCTAAAATTTGATGCTATTTCCGACTTTTTTGCTTTCATCCACAAAAAATAGAAAAAAATGTAAAAATTGTGGCGTTTGACTTTGTTGCAGTTTTTTTGTCTCACCCTGTACATATTATATGTTGACAAAAATCCGGTATATTTTTGATTTTCCGTAACAATCATCATAACAAATATTGCAAAACTATCAGCACATTCTTGACTAATAACTCATCGATTTCTGTATTCGGTTTTCTGTGGTTCGAAATTTAAACAGCTTTCGCCTTGATCGAAATTTTATTGAGACATTCAGATCGACTACAAGTCAAAAATTCAATTACGATTTATACATCAATATAATATTCTGATCGGAATCCAAACTGCCAATTGTGGCGTGGGGTTGATTGCATTTTATTATTGACTGACTGTCGAACACTCACAGCTAGATCAACTTGATCATGGAGATATGAAATATAGGTTTACAAACATTTTGGCGAAACAGGTCTTCTTAATACCGTCTCCAATATTCATAATCCTCGTTGTTAATAAATATTAAAATAATCAAGAGATATAATAAAAATAACCTCTAATAAATTTAACCTCTTTTTTATTTTTCAGCTTCTCAACGCTCACATTATAAACGGCCAATTAGTGAATAGTACCACCCTACAAGATCCCGAAATTCAGGAAGCCCTACAATTCTCACAATCCATTGTAAATACGGCACAATTGTATATTCAATATGACTTACCCATCGAAGCCCGGCCAGAAGGTGAAGTTATTCTGGCACAGGTCAAACAGGGTCTGGCAAAATGTGAAGCCCTCATCGATTCGATACTGAATATTTGGGAATACAAGCAATGTGCCAGTATTTTGCTAAGGGATGCTATGGCTGCTTTGTCATCGTTGCAGGGAAAATATCGACCATACTTGGCATCGTCGGCTAGTCGGCCATCGTTATTTTGGTGAAGGAACATTTTAATTACAGCCACTGCAATTTTAAATTTAGTAAAATTAATTATTGAAATTATAATATATGGCTCAGAAGAGGTCAGTTGCGCCAATATGTTTTAAAAATAAATTTAAATAATCGGAAAAAATGTAAGTGTATTTTTCCATGACTATATATTTTCAGATAAATTCCAGATTGAAAAAAAACACGAACTAAAATTTGAATTATATTTCAAATGCAATGTTGAATGCAACATCGGTTCCATTTTCGAAATAAAAATATGAATTTTTATTAATGCCATAAAAAGTCCTCTGACGATGGGTATTTGCTTCGTCAAGCTCTTAGTATTCTTTTTTCTGACTATTTTTTTGGCTTAAGCGGAGATTTTATCCAGCGACCTAAGGTTTTGTTGTCGGTCATGGTCCTTACTTGGTATGACAAAAGTTAATAATTTTGGCTTTTAATTTTATAGATAATGCAGAGGGTATCTATATTAATAAGAGAAAAAAGTAATTGACTGATTGACTTAACGATTTACCAACGCCCAGACGACACAGCTGAAACTAGAATCTTAAAATTTCTGGTCCAAAGGGGTCAGATAAGGCTGGATTCTTGGAAATTTTCTATTAGAACGGTACGAAAGTGTTAAGTTACCTCTTAATCATTTTCGTTCCGTTCTAATTCGAATTTTCATAAACCCAGTCTTATCCGACCCGTTTGGTCCCAAGATACGATACCCTTTTTATTTAAGGAAACCGTAGAACAAATACTCTTAAATTTAAAATGAGGGCCACCGAGGGAGTGTATGAAAGATGTACGAAGGAAATTCACACTATACGTACGAAAAGTACTAAAATGTACTACATTTTGTACCACATTTCGTACATGTGAACGATGAAAACTTGAAATTTAAAATAGGTATGAATGTTGAAGAGTAGAGTCGATGTAGTTTTGGAAGTGTGTGCACATGTATACGAAAAATTCCAAAAGGTACTAAATTTAGTACAATTTTAATTTTGGATGAACAGATTGTGCTGGAATCCTGAAATTTGAAATTATGATTACTGGCGGAGTGTAGGATTGGGATATGGAGGAAGTTTGCACGATTTGTACTTATGTTCACTAAAGATACTAAATTTAGTACAATTTGAATTTGGAGGAACGGATGGAGCTGGAATCCTAAAATTTAAAATTATTATTACTGGCAGAGTGTAGGATTAGGATATAGAGGAAGTTTTCAAAATTTGGAGAATGTTTTCAAAATTTATACTTATGTGTACGAAAAGTACTAAATGTTACTAAATTTGGTACAATTTCGTTTTGGGTGAAGCGATAGAGCTGAAATTCTAAAATTTGGAAATAAGATTTCTATGGGATTGTATGTTCGAGGTTTGGAGGTTGTTTTGGGAAATTTGGAGTATTGGATTGTGGTATGTAGGAAGTTTTGGAAATTCGTAATTATGTGTATTTTGGTACAATTTAGATTTGTGTGCTGCAATCCTGAAATTTGAAAATATGATCACTGTTGTGGAATAGCATTGGGTTATGTAGGATATTTTGGAAATGCGTACTTATGTGTACTAAAAACTACCATATTCGGTACAATTTGGTATTAGATATACAGATAGTGCTAGAAATCTGAAATTTGGTATTAGAGTCGGTGCTCACGTGGAGCCTGGACATATGGAGTTGGTTTCGAAAATGTGTACTATAATTGTTCGAAAAGTACTAAATTGTATTAGATTTGGTATTAGATAAAGGAATCGAACTTGAATTCCGAAAGAAGATATTGTAGTCTATGTTACTATCTGAGATTGAGATATGGGGGTGGTTTTGGAAATGTGTCCTTGAATTATACGAAAAATACTAAATAATACTAAATTTGGTATTGGGTGAAGGAATCGAACTGAAATTCCGAAAATTGATATTGCTGTCTTTGTTTCAATCTAGGATTGAGATATGGAGATAGTTTTGAAAATTAGTACTACAATTGTACGAAAAGTACTAAATAGTACCAATTTTGATATTAGGTGAAGAAATAGAGACGAAATCCATCTGGATTGATATGAATATCGCTGTTGGTGTCTATGATTAAGCTATGGAGGAGAAATTGAAAATGCGTATTATAATTGTTCGATAAGTACTATGTGGTTCTAAATTGGGTATTGGGTGACGGGATTGGGTTGGAAGCCTCAAATTTGATATTGAGGTCTATGTTGGAATCTGGAATTGAGATATGAAAATGATTTTGGTAATGTGTACTATATTTGTTAAAAAAAAGTACTAAATGGTACTAAATTTCATATTGGGTAAAGATATAGAGCTGAAATCCAGAAATTTGATATGAATGTCACTGTTGGTGTCTGTGGTTAAGCTATGGAGGAGAAATTGAAAATGCGTACAATAATTGTACGAAAAGTACTGAGTGGTACTAAATTGTGTATTGGGTGACGGGATTGGGCTGGAATCCCCAAATTTGATATAGAGGTCTGTGTTGATATCTGGAATTCAGATATGAAGGTGATTTTAAAAATGTGTACTATATTTGTTAAAAAAAAGTACTAAATGGTACTAAATTTGATATTCGGTAAAGATAATGAGCTGAAATCCAGAAATTTGATATGAAAGCCATTGTTGGTGTCTATGGTTAAGATATGGAGGAGAAATTGAAAATGCATACAATAATTGTTCGAAAAGTACTTAGTGGTACTAAATTGGGTATTATGTGAAGGGATAGAGCTGGAATCTCGAAATTTCATATTGAGGTCTCTGTTGGTATCTGGGATGGAGATAGGTAGGTGGTTTCGGTAATTTGTACTATAATTGTACGAAAAGTACTAAATGGTACTAAATTTGATATTGGGTGTCGGAATTGGTCTGAAATCTTCAAATTTTTACATTCAGGTCTCTGTTGACATCTGGGATTGAGACATAAAGTTGGTTTTGAAAATGTGTACTAGAATTGTACGAAAAATACTAAATAGTACTAAATTTATTATTGGGCTGAAATCCTCAAATTTGATATTGAGGTCTGCATTGCTATCTGGAATTGAGCTATAGAGGCGATTTTGGAAATGTGTACTATAATAGTACGAAAAGTACTAAATTTGGTATTGGGTGACGGAATTGGGCTGGAATCCTCAAATTTGATATTAAGATCTGTGTTGGTACCTAGAATTGTGATATGGAGGTGGATTTGGTAATGTGTAATATAATTTTACGAAAAGTTCTAAATAGTACTAATTTTGATATTGGGTGAAGGAATAGAGCCGAAATCCAGAAATTTGATATAGATGTCACTGTTGGTGTCTGGGATGGAGATATAAAGCCTTAAAATTATTCGAAAGTTACTAAATGTAAAAGAATTGGGTATTGGATGAAAAGTTAGAGCTGGAACCCTGAAACTTGATATGGGAGCCACTGTTGGTACATAGTTTTGAGAAAGGAAGGTGGATTTGGCAATGCCTACTATGCTTGTTCGAAAAGTATTAAATAATACTAGCTTTTCCCTTGAGTGAGTGGATAAAGCTTGAATTCTGAAATTTGATTTGTAGGTCAATGTTGCTTTATAGGGTTTACAAATAGAGACGTTGAAATACTTTTGCCCACAAAAATTGGATGTGGGTCCATTATGCAATGTTTCTACTTATATCATCTTCGGTAAGCTTCAAAATGAAAGATTTTGAAGACGAAAAAGGAAAAAATTGACCAATATATAAAACTTGGAAAATCTGAAAAATTTGGGACGATGTATGGAGTTTTATATAAAACTAGTAAAAAAGCTGTAAGTTTGACCGGGCCGAACTTTAAATATCCATCACCATATTGAACGAATTTGGCAATTTTCCAAAAAATAAAATCTCTTAAAAATTCTGTTAAAATCATAAAAATACCGAATGTAGCCGTTATATTGGGGTCTATACGACGACGTGGACCTGTCATAGGCTGTGGTATCCATTACGAACTTCAAATACCAAATTTGATGCAATTCCGGTGAATAATGTAGCTAAAATCATCAAAATACCGAATATCGGGAGGTGCCCTTATATGGGGGGCTATACGAAGACGTGGACCTGTACAGACAATTTTCTATCTTAGACTGTAGTATCCATTACGAACTTCAAATACCAAATTTGAAACAATTCCAGAGAATATTGTTGCTAAAATCATCACAATACCGAATATCGGGAGGTGCCGTAATATGGGGGCTATACGAAGACGTGGACTTGCATAGACAATTTTCTGACATAGGCTGTAGTATCCATTACGAACTTCAAATACCAAATTTAATACAATTCCGTCGAATAATGTCGCCAAAATCATCAAAATACCGAATATCGGGTGGTACCGTTATATGGGGGCTATATGAAGGCGTAGACCTGCATAGAAAATTTTCTATTGTAGCCTGCAGTATTTATTACGAACTTCAAATACCAAATTTTAAACAATTCCAGTGAATAATGTAGCGTAAATCGCCAAAATACCGAAAATATGGAGGCAGCATGATATGGGGGCTATACCAAAACGTGGACCTACATGGCCCATTTTCAATACCAATAGTCCTGCAAATATAATATACATTTGAGTAAAATTTTATCAACCTACTTCATTTCGTTTGGAAGCTAGAGTGATTTCCACAGACGGACGGAAATCGCTAAATCGATATAGAACTTTATGCTGATCAATAATATATCTCAGTAAAACCCTTTTTTAAGTGTTATAATTTTTCAAGATGTAGACCCTTTGTGAGGTTCAGAACCTATTTTATATTACTATTATCTGTTGTCTCTTTCTATTTTTCCCTCAAATGAATGACTCCATTTTGAAATTGTTTCTCCTCTCTTAACCTCAACAATTACAAAGTTTTCACCAACAGTTCATTTCTCATGTAAGTGTGTCTGAGTCTCTCATATGTCACCGTGAAAAAGTTCACTCTCCAAAACAAAAGAAAATAAAAAACTACCGAAAAAATAAATGTTAAGTAAAAGATTATTTCCACTTTTTTTCTCTCACACCCAGCATTCATCAATTTCATAGTGTTACAGTTTGTCAAGTGAGAGATTAAATACTTGGGCGCCGTTTTCGTTTCCGCATGCATCGGAGGTCTCAAGCATCCATCCACTAACTTCCAAACCGGCATTCATTCACTCAACCAACTGCGACTGGATTCGAACCAAAAATATAATTCGTTTAAAAATGCAGAGGATTTTAATGTGTCAAATGAGAG